CCTGCTGCTCTCTGCAGCTGGAAAAGGACAAGAGCCAAGTGGCCGAATATGTGCACCAGGCCCTTCCATACCTGGAGAGCCCACAGGAGCCCCTGCAAGAGGCAGCCATCAAGTTCATAGGTGAGCCACAAGGTCACCAGGGCTGTGCTGGGGAGCCCCGAGTGCCCTGGCGCTGCTGCCGCCCTGTGCTAGCCCAGCCCTGGGCCATCCCCAGGTGGGAAGGGCCCGGGCTCAGCCCTGCCAGGGCGGGAGGGCGTGTGGCCAGGCTGGCAGTGCCACTGGGGGGGAGCTGTGATACCGCTGGGGCCCTGACAGCATCTGTGTTCCCAGGAATGGCCGGGAGATACCTGAAAGGGCAGAAGAACGAGTTGCAGCTCGTCATGGATGGTGAATGAGGGCAGTGGGATATCTGGGGGCTGGTGGAGGAGCTCAGACCCTGGGCAGGGAGCTGCAGTCCTGCCCTGGCTGTGGAGGGCTCTGCTCCCTGCATGGATGAGGAATGGCTTGGGCAGAGCAGAGGGAGATTTCAGGGCCATGAGGGGTATTGGTGGCCAGCACCTTCTGGCTGATCCCCATGGGCCCTGCTCCTCCTGGCCATAGCAAGAGCTGGCTTGGATGGCTCTGGCAGGAGGGGCTTCTTGGGTCCCCACAGATGCAGGCTCTGGCCTCAGCTCTGTTCTTTTTTGTTCCAGCCCTTCAAGGCATGACTCATGACAGCACTGCCATCAAACATCTGGCACTCAAAAACCTGAAAATGCTACGCTCTGCAGAGAGACCTCGTTCTTCTCCCCGTTCCAGCAGCTTGAAGACCCACTCCAGAATGAAAGGATTAGGGAGGCTCCTCGGTGGAGCAGCTGCCAGAGGTCTGCAGAGAACTGATCCTGGGAACCCCGTCTGATCAAATACCTCATCCTGTTGAAAAGACCCCTCTCCTCCTGTTAGTCCAACACGGCAATATTAAATCCCTCTTAGCATGCACAGAGGCTCAGGAGTTTTCTTTGGTGCCCGGTATCCACAG